TCCTGGGTTCTCTACCTGCTCTAGGAGGGGAGTTGGGTCTATGGCTTAGAGCAGAGGGAGGCTGGGAGCCAGGACTCCTGGGTTCTCTCCCTGTCTCTGGGAGGGAGTGTCCGAGGACTGCTACCTCCAGGTCCGTATTGTAGCCCCTGGCCTGGGGTGGGGCTGGGGGAGTCAGATTCCAGACTGAAAGGAGCAAGGGGCAGACTGCCGGGCTCACATACCCAGCGCTGAAATGCAGCCCAGCTCCCACGTCGCCGTCCCTGACCTAGCCAAGGCCATGCCCTCCACCTGAGGCCCAAATGCAAATCTCCCCGGGGAAGAGCCCCCCCGCTCCCTGAGCCCTGCACTGGCTCCGACCTCCGACACTGCGGCCCTTGTCGGAGCCGGTCACGACCCAGGGAGCGGAGAGCAGCCCCAATGCTGCCTGGAGACCCCACTGGGAAGCTGAAGGGATGCTGGGCAATCCAAGGGGTTACGACAAGAACAGACAGGGCAGTATGGGGGCAGGATCAGGCCCAGGGCCGGTGGGGGGAGGGGAAAGGATCAGGCTCAGTGGGGGGAGGATCAGGCCCCAGGGCTGCAAGGGGGGGTGGCCCAGAGACCGACAGGTGCTTTATCCTCAGCCCTGATCACCAACCCCAGCACCTGGCCATGACTGGGAGGGGGGGAGGGCCCCTGGGGCAGACAAGGCCCAGACCCCACACCCGGGAGGGTCTCAGATCCTGGTACCCGGGGCCAAGTGGCAGCAGGGCCTTGACGTCAGGGAAAGCTCTGGCCCATCCCACCCTGTCGCAATATGTACTAAAGTACAGGTGCGGTGCCCAGCCCAGCCAGCCACCCCATCCCCTGTCCCCAAGCAGCAGGGCAAGGGAGGGAAGCAGGAAGTTTGTGGGGAGGGTGCGTGCTGGACACTGTCGTCAGCCACCTCGTGCAATCCTCCCCCCGCACCCCGAGCGCGTGGAATAAAGTGGGCCGGGAGGGGGCCGGCGCAGGAGAGAGAGACGCGAGCAGGGCTCAGACGGGCGGCACCGCACGGCTCACAGGTGAGCGGGAGATGCTGGGAGAACGGTGAAGGAAAGAGGTGGGGAGAGAGAAACGGCTAGACTGAACGGAAAGAGGCAAGGAAACGGGCCACGGCTGAGCGTGAAAGAAAGACGCGAGCTGTATGAAAGGAAGGAGGGAGAATTCGAAAGACCGCCGCGTAGAATGACAAACAAGAAGGGAGGCTGCAGAGAGAGCGAAAGGGAGACCAGGAAAGCGGCCGCGGGAACCAGCTAGAGAGCGATGAGTAAGAAAGATGATAGTGACAGAAATGAGAAGCAAATCTCTCTCTCGCTCTCACTATAAAGGGGTAGGAAGAAAAGCCCCCCCCCCCTCCGTCCCCCCCGTCACTCCTGGGCTCGGTCCATGCTCTCTGTGCTGGCTGCTTTTAACCCTGTCCCTCCCACGCTGCTGGCTGCCCCACAAGCACCGGCGGGTCAGGGCCTTGTTGCTGCAGGGGAGGGAGGGGGCCCATGTGGATCCCCCCAAGGTGAGTCCCCCGGGCTCTGCAATTCTGAATGGGGAGGTGCTTAGCGGGAGAGTCCCGCTGTGGGGGGTCTGCAGAGACCAGGCAAGGCCTGGGGGGTCTCAGGGAGGGGGAGGGGCTGGGGGCAGGACTCCCCAATGGGGTTCGAGTGGCTCCCGGGCCAGGCTGGGCTCGCTGAGGGCTGGGGTGAATTGCCGACTGGCTGTTTTTTGGTACTGCTTGTGATTCCTTCCCTCCAAATGGCTCATGGCCCCGGCCAGCTTCAAACAGGGGCTTAGTATTGCGTCTGTTACTGTAGTCACCAGCTGAAATCAGGGCCCCGTCGTGCCAGGCGCTGCCCAGACGCAGAGCGAGAGACCAGCCCGGCCCCAAAGATCTGGCAGTCTAACTGCACTGGGGTGTGGGGAAACTGAGGCACAGAGCATGGCAGTGACTCAACACAGGGAGCCTGGGGTAGGAACTGAACTCTGGTCTCCTGAGTCCTAGCCCAGCCCTTCCACCCCCACAGCCCCAGCTGGTACATTGGTGACATGACCGGGCGTTCAGGGGATTTGCACGGAAAACTGGAAAATCCTGTTGCCGAGGCTGAAGCCTGGCTGGGAGCTTTAGCTGCCGGCCACATTCCTGCTCCCCCGATGGCCCGAGCTGGGGCTGACTCGTGGGCGTAACACTCGGGGTGACCAGATAACCGGGGTGCACAATCAGGACACTTTTTCTGTGGGGGGGGGGTCGGGAATAGTTGCGTATAGAAGCCAAAGCCCCTAATACTGGCTGGTCCCAATCATAGCGGGACAGCCGGTCACCCTACTAATGCTGCACTCGCCTGTCAGGGCGTCCAGGATCGGGCCCGGTCTCTATCCCGCTCCCTGCGGCTGGGTGTGATGGGGCTGAATGTAACTGACACGACCCCCCCGTCCTGTCCTAGCAGGACTTTAACTAGCCCCAGAGACGGGGCCCCCGACCCTTCCGGGGGACGGTTCCCCATCCAGCAGGGAGAAGCGGGGTCCCTGGCCCTTCCGGGGGACGGTTCCCCATCCAGCAGGGAGAAGCGGGGTCCCCCGACCCTTCCGGGGGACGGTTCCCCAGCCAGCAGGGAGAAGCGGGGTCCCTGGCCCTTCCGGGGGACGGTTCCCCATCCAGCAGGGAGAAGCGGGGCCCCCCGGCCCTTCCGGGGGACGGTTCCC